TGTCTATCCTATGTCAACCATTATATATGTTTCTGAATTACATATTAATTACATACATAGTAACACTATAATAATTATTAATTATTTTAGGTGGCTACCATTTTGCCAGGTTCTGAGAGTGCCAAATTTCCCCTTTTGGCCTATTTCGGCACTGAGTATCTCTCTGGGCTGTGATGACAACTTATTTGCTGCTTCAGAAAACACTAAAGTCAAATTAATAAGGAATTGACACAGCTGTCGAGTATGTGCAACTCACCTTGGATTAAGTTGAGCTCTGGAAGAATTGTTTGGATTTCATAACATTATTCAATGTGGCCACTAGGGGGAGATCACATATAGCGATCCTCAAAGTAGGAGGCTGGGTCTCGAATTTTTATTAAAAAAACCTGTCAATAGTACACTAAACTAAGAGGGGAGGGAATCTTCCTACTTTTAAGTAAAGACGTACTAGTGCAGCCTCAAAATAGTAGACAAAAAGAATTAAGTCAAAGCAGAGACTTCTATAAGAAAAGAAAGGAAGCCCAAGTATGTGGTGCCACAAGAAATGCACTTTATTTTTGGAGAGGAGGGGGGTAATTCACACTAACTCCTTTCAGATAAATAAATGTCTGGTAGGACTTGAGAAAATTCCCAAGGCTGAGTCTGGGCTCATCAGAAAGAATGCTGAGATGAATAAAATTATCTGGTAAGAGCTCAGGAGGGGAAATTGGTGGCTCACGTGTCTCCTGTTTGCCATCTCAAGATTGTGTACTTGTCAGTTTTATAAAACGTATGCATTGCATCACATGTATCATCTCGACTAATGCAGGTACGATGAGAACAGAATAGGCATTCTCAAAAGAGATGGGGCTCTTAAAACACTGGGGATTGAGGATCACAGTGGATCATCCCAAAATGCCAAAGTTTCAGGTAAAAACTAAAGAGGAAGAAAACTTCCTTTATTGACTCTTTGACACTGTAAACTATGTGCATATAATAAAAATCACCTTTCTTAACAGAACAAAACCAGAACTTCCAAGATGAAGCGTGAAAAGAGAATCTCCTGGTGGAGTCAGAGACTGTTTCCGAGACGCACTTTTGTAAGGGAGTCTCGTCAATTCTTGCTGCTGCCAGCACGCCCACGGTAGGGACTAGTCTCCCCAGCGGCGGCCTGAAGTCCTCCTAGGATTCTCTAAGGCCCAGCTGACAATAAGCTGACGGTCCAAAAAACTTTGCCAAAGGTCGAGGATTATGAAAGAGAAGCAAAAAGACACAGCATAATTTGAGCATGCCTCGTCAGGTAGACCTTATCTCAGGAGTTCAAGGCCCCCTCCTTCTCTACATGGAATCCTGTGGAAATGGAAAGTCCTCTGCTGGGTCCTTTCTTCTGATTTCTAGCTTATCCTCAATTAGGGCAGAATTAGCTTAATATGTATCATTTGGGAGCGCCTCCGACACTTGGGCCCATGGAGAGCACCTGAGTCCCCTCCCACCACAGATCTGGGTTCTTATATGATGACGTGTCTTTTCCCTTCGGGACTGATTCTGGGGGCGATCTTACCGGGACAGTCATACCTCAACCTAGTAATGCAGCATCCACCAAATACACAGGACCCAAAGGTAAGAGTTCATGGCAACAAGGGAGTCATTTACAACCTGCAGTTAGTCTAGAAAGTAAGTGGGAGAGATAGCAGGAGCTCTGGTTTGTGTACAAAATGATTCTCAGGACACAGGTTAAATAAGAAGGAATGGCAGTATTCTGATTTAAGAAATAATCTTCTAACTTTTACTTATGCATTCAGTTGTGTCTAATTAAGCCTGCATTGTTTTTCACCTATCATTTTTCATCGAGCTTTCTTGGATTGCAGATGGAGTAACCACCATCCTGGTTTGCCTAGGACTGGCGGGTTCCTAGGACTCAGGACTTTCTATGCTAAAAACAGTAGTGCTGGGCGAACCAGGACACTTCTCACTCTAATTGCAGACCCGATTGTGAACCTGCTTCAACTCTGAACTCTCTTCCTAGGAAGATGCATGTACACTTGCTATTTTGTGTACAATTTCCTGAACTACTTCCAACACGTTTGTGAACCCCTAGCTGTTCATGGAACCTGGGTTAAGAAATTCTGACTTATATAAATACATTTTGGATTTTTTAAAATGTACACTTATTTAAATCTTTGTTTCCTGAGGTAAAATCCTACTTTATGCAAAGGGTCAAATTGAATTATCTTTTTGAGATTTTCATATAATTTTAAATCAAGATTAACTTTGGTGCTTTTCCTTTTCAGTCATAATCTAGAGGCCATGTTGGAAGAATAGCAAGTGAAGAGGAAGAGCAAGAAAATTCACTTGGTGTAGAGAAATGACTGAGAGATAAGTTCAGAGAAGGATTCGAAAAGTATGATCCAGGAAAAGTAGGTAAGGTAAATGTATCATATTAGACTCACATTTAATTATTTTATGCTTAAGGATAGTTCCTTTTGAAACTAATACATATTCAACATGAAAAAATTAGAACCTACAGAAAAATATAACCAAGAAAATGTAAATCACCTAATAATTCCATCACTTGGTCATCACCACCATTATCATGTCACTATATTTTGAACTAGTCTTTTAAAAATTAAACAAATAAAACAAAAATTAGGATCATCCCTTATCACTTTTATTTTGTGGACATAGTTTTTATTATGTTGTGAACATTTCAACAAACCATTAACTAGAGCTTTAACATGATTTTTAATGTCTGCTCAAGATTTTATTAAATGACATACCATAAAAGAAAACTATTTTTTTCTACTTTGTTCTCAACACTCTATGCTCAGTACTTCACTTCTTGTCACCAAAAGTGTGTGGTTTTTTTCTCACATCAACCAATTCTCCAACTCTCTGTGGGCTCCACCAACTGAGTGTCCTACAGTTTAATTCAGTTCTGCTACCTGAAGATGGCATCCCTCAGGTTACAGGCTCAGACCAGCAAGAATGCCTTTCCTCATTCCAGGCACCAGTTGCACGTCCAGGTTGTCATCTGTGCCTCATACCAACTGGCTATGAGTCGGAGGGTCCACAGTGAACCCCTCCTCAGATAAAAGAATTTGCTAGGATGGCTCACAGACCTTAGGAGAACAGTTGACTTACTAGATTACTGGTTTATTATAAAAGGATATGACCGAGGATCAGGCAGGTGGAAGAAATGCACAAGACAAGGTACAGGGGAAGGGGTTCGGAGCGTCCATGCCCCTTCTGGTCATCCCACCCTCTCAGTACCTCCACGTGTTCAACCCAGAAGTACTTCAGGGATTTTTATGGAGACTTCATCATGTGGGCATAATGGATTGTTAACTCAATCTTAGCCCCTCTTTCCTCCCCAGAGGATGGGGGGTGGGATTGAACAGTCCAAGCTTCTAATTATGGCTTGGTCTTTCTGGAGATCAGCCTTTGTCTAGGAGACCACCAAAACTTGCCTCATTAGAACAAAAGATTCTTGTATCACCCAGGAAACTCCAAGGGATTTAGGAGCTCTGGATCAGGAACTGGGGTCAAAACCATGTATTAAAACAAAAGATGCTCCTAGGACGTTTATCACTTAGGAAATTACAAAGTATATAGGATTGCTGACCAGGTGCCAGAGATGAAGACCGAAATATGTATTTCTTATTATATCACAATGTTACTATTCCCCAATTAGTGTTGGGCATGTAAGTTATTACCGGTTATTCACTATTCTACTTATTATATTTAATACTTCAATGAATATACATCAGCTTTTGTGTATGATTTATTTCTTTAGGGGAAAAAAAGCCCCACTGTGAATATCTTTAGAAATATTGCCAAAATTGCTCTCTAGAAATTTATGCCAATTCACTTTCTTACTAACACTATATACCTCCACCAGCATTAGCTTCCCGGGCCCACACTGGGTATATTAGTTGTCTATGGCTGCATAGCAGATTACCTCCTCCCTAAATTGTCAGTTTAAAATGGTAAGCATTTATTATCTCCGAGTTTCTGTTGGTCAGGAAGCTGGGCTTGGTGTCTCTGGCTCAGGGGCTCTCACGAGATTGCAGCTCAGCTGTCAGCCAGGACTGCTGAATGAAGGCTCAGCCTGGGGAGGATCCACTTCCAAGTTCACTCACTGGCCCTTAACCAGGCACATTCATTCCCTGTTATGTGGGCCACTCCACAGGGCAGCTCACAACCCAGCAGCTGGCCTCCCTAGAGCAAGCAAGTGAGAGACAGAGAGGACTCAAGAAGGAACCTCGGTCTTTTTAAAACCTCATTTTGGAAATGATGTTCCCATAAGGCTGCCATATTCTGTTTGTTAAAGCGCATGGCTGGGTCCAGCCCACGTTCAACGGGAGGGCATTATACAAGGGCACGCGTACCAACATCTAGAGGCTGTGTATCACAGTATTTTCATTTCCAGATCAAGCTTTGCCAAAACTCACAAATCAATTTTATTTTCCTTTGCTTACATCTGATTACCTGTATAGTTGAACACATTGTTTTTTTCTAAGCTAATATTTTATCTAGTAAGCTAATATTTATTGAGCATTTACAATGAGCCAGACACTGAACTAAGCATTTTATATACATTTTCTCATGCATTCTTGCCAACAATCCAATAATGTGGGCACTATTATTAATCCCATTTTACAGATGAGGAAGCTGAGGGATTTTTTTTTAACATTATCAAAGATTATATAACTGGTAGGCAAGAAGGCACTCCAGTCCATGCTCTTAACCACAATTTTACCTTATAAGCTTCTCATGCCCATATAGGTATTTCTACTTACACATACGTATATATCCATAAACAATATATACAACTTTGTTTTTAAATTACTCATAAATATCACACTGTACAGATGTTTTTGAATTTTTTCACTGAACATTGTTTTAGAGATTTATCCAAGTTGATATATGCTGATACATTAATTCAGTCATTTTAACCACTGTGTAGTATTCTGTAGTGTGAATGAATCACAGTTTATTTAGCTAATTTCCTGCTAAGGAAAGATTAGTTTCAGTTTCTTCGCATTAGAGGTGATGCTACTCTGAATGACTTTCTGTACATTTTGGGGGGCACATTTGCAAAACCTTCTCCAGGGTAGACACTTCAGATGGAAGTAGTGTCCAAAATGTTTATGGCAATTTATTCACCAGCAATGTATGAAAATTTTACTTTGCCTTGATCCTTGCTGTGTTTGCTAACAAAATACCACAGTCCGGGTAACTTAAACCATGGAAATTTATTTTCTCATAATTCTGGAGGCTGGAGTCAAAGATCAAAGGGTCGGCAGGGTTGGTTTCTTCTGTGGCCTCTCCCCTAAGCTTGTGGTTGCTGTCTTTTCCCTGTGATGTCATTTTTTATATTCCCCTCTGTAAGAGTCTGTGTCCTAATTTCTTCTTGGGAGGATACCAGTCATATTGGATTAGGGCCCGCATTGCCAACCTCATTTTACCTTGATTATCTCTTTAAAGATGCTGTCCCCAAATACAGACACATTCCGAGGTACCAAGGGTCAGAGCGTCAGTATCATCATATGAGCTTTGGGAAGATACAGTTCAGCTCATGACACTTGTATTACTTGGATTTATCAACCTTAATAGTCTTTCTTAATTGAAGCATAGTTTATTTACAATGTTGTGTTAGTTTCAGGTGTACAGCAAAGTGATTCAGTTATATATATATATATATATATATATATATATATATATATATATATATATATATTCTTTTTCAGATTCTTTTCCATTATAGGTTATTACAAGCTACTGAATATAGTTCCCTGTGCTATAGAGTATGTCCTTGTTGTTTATCTATTTTATATACAATATTGTATATCTATTTATCCCAAACTCCTAATTTATCCCTCCCTTCTCCACTCCCCCCTTTGGTAACCATAAGTTTATTTCTATGTCTGTGAGTCTATTTCTGTTTTGTAAATAAGTTCATCTGTATAATTTGTTTAGATTCCACCCATAAGTGATATCATATGATATTTGTCTTTCTCTGTCTGACTTACTTCACTTAGTATAATAATCTCTAGGTCCATCCAATCTTAATAGTTTTAAAAATGCATTTAATGGTTGTAAATGGTGTTGTGTCATTTATCCTGTATTGATGTGTCTATTTTCGCTACTAGACAGTGGTTCTCAAAGCTAGGGCCTTTGTCTTACTGATCTTTGTGACCCCACTGGGCAACAGATATTTGGCATTTAGTAAGTACTTGCCATTTGAATTACATTTTTAAATCAACTTGAAGACAAAGAGGCCAATAGGTGCTGTCAGCTTAGCTCTGTTACAATTCTTATTTTCTTTTAAATTGTTTTTATTAGTTTCCTAAAGTTTTATTAAATTATTTTAAGTTGTTTTTATTAATTTCAAGAGTCACAAGATACATAGTTGCCGTTCACATAAATAATTCCATCTTGGTTTTCCAGTTTGCATCTTATCAAGGCACTCTGCTTTCTTCTTTTACTGTGAGTCTCTGAAAAGCACTTACCTGATTTTTAGAAATCCCAGTAAATCTAGGTGAGGCGGGGGTAAGCAAATACAGAATTAACCTAATTTGCTTTGGCTTTTAGTTCTGCCAAAGGTATGAATCAGTTGAGTTAAGGGAAGATTGAGAACGAGCCTATAGATTAAGTTACCAATTAGAAAAGATGCTTGATTTAAGTGTTAAGCACGTGTTTGTATATATTCTTTCATCATGTTATGAATGGCATAATTTTATCAAATTTTAAATGAAGTTAAATATACGGGTTCTAATTAGAAAGAAGTGACGTTTCATTAAAAAATTTCACTGCTACCTTCCTCTTCCTAGATGTTTTAGCCCTCCCTCTCCTATACCTTTTATGTAATTGTTACCTTGTATAAATGACTAGTAACATGGAGTTTTAATTCTCCAGTTATAATGTAAGCCCCAAGAAGATAGCAATTATACTTTACAGCCTTATTGTGTCTTATAGGTACCTAGTAGATCCTCTAAAAAATACCTGGAATACTTCCTTTGAATTGTTCTCTGCCATCCTCCCCATGACTCGTAACAGGAAGAAAAAAATTTAAAAACCCAAACCTATGATTTATGTGGAAACTGCAAAGTAGCAGTGTGTGATCTCTCTTTCTCCTGGAGGTTGGAAAGGAAGATTTCTTTTCATTCCTGAAAATGTTTGACTTGCACCTGAAGGAAGAATATTCAGATGATATCCCATAGAGATGCAACCATATAAATAGTCCAGTTGGCATTAGTTATTTGGATCTTCTGAGAAATGTACAGAATCGCAGCAGTGAAGGGATCATGCACAAAATCCTCCCTAAGCCCACGCACAGCTGTACGGACCCTCCGTGTTGTTATGGCCATTCTCCTAATCCACTAAATCCTACCAACCACTGATAAACTTTCAGGGAGACT